CCCCAAAAGAGTATAAAACAATGTTACAATATTTTGGCATACCAACATAGCACTCAAATTTCCACAGTACTCGAGAAAACTTAAAAAAATATGGCTCCTTTAAGAGTTTCTGCCTGACAGTTTCTCCCAGAAAAGTGGGTGGCACCAGCTGAGAGCCACACAGAGGATCCAGGTATAGGTTAATAGTTTAAAGGTTTGCTCACATGGTCAAAAACAGCTAAAAGATACATAGTAAAAGAGGTCCAGATTGGGAAAAAGAAAAACTCTGAACTGGTTCCAGTGTGTCTTACAATGTGTATAGGCTTAAGAAAGAAAGAATATGGGTATAAACATTGTAGAAAAAAATAGTTTAAAAATAAAGTCTTTAACGAGAGAGTAAAAGTAATATAAAATAAAAAAAAAGCCATATAAGATGGGAAACACACAGGGAGTCTGAATCCTGTATAGTATTATGTTGATTTTGGATTTTTTTATTGTTAATAAGCAAACAACAGCTGCTAAGAGACATGGGATCGAAAGAGGGATGGATGAAATAAATCAGCCTATATCCTTTAGGAATGGCTTAACTTTAAAAAGGTCAAAAAAATGTATTTTTCAAATGGAAGTAAAAAATGCTTTGGAGTTTTGTTCCCACAGGACACAAGAAGTTGTAGATTCCTTCAGCAATAATATGGATCAGGTATGATCAAGGGAGACCTCCTGAATCGTGACCAGTGATATCTATCAACAAAGGTTACTGCTGGTCTTTCCAGGACTTGGTCATTATCTCAAAGTTTTCTCAGGGACCCCCCAAGATGCCTTTGCCCACAGCCAGCAAGAGGCAGTTTAGAGAAAACTATACTCATATTCTCAAGAGTTGCAGGTTGTGGGTGGTTTTTGGTTATTTGGTGGGTTATGGATGTTTTTATCATTTAGGGAAACATAGAATATTGATACAATTTTAAAGTTACATTTGTTACACTGTATATATGTTTCTACTATTTAAATGATTTTTGTATATTGATAAAAACTTAAGGTTATTTTTGTTAAAATATGTTGTATGTATGTTTCTATTTTTGTTTGAGGTGTTGTGCCTACCCAGTTCATTTGGAAATGTAGGGTGACATTCTAGTTTTTGAAAGCTATTATTATAAACTATATAGGATAATCAGGAACATAGGTTAGTCGTTGGTCATTTATAATAATCAAAATTGTAGATATGTAGGGTATGCTTTCCAGATCATATAGAGATAGATGTTAGACAGAGAGATGGTCTTCAAACCTTTCAAAGATCTACAGAATATGGCATTTAAAAGGTTTTGTTAACTTGGGTTTTTTCACAAACATGAGACACATCTGCTCCTGGCAGTACCAATTTACTTCAGAGACGATGGGCATCGAAGAAACTCTTTATGGAGTTTGCTTTCAATGTGGCAAGGCCAGCCATTTGGGCAAGAAGCTGCTCTTGCTTGGACTGCTTGACAGTATGTTGTGTAAACTGGACATGCAGGATATGGTGATATTTGTAATCTAAGAGATAAAGCGTGCCTGAAGATCACAGGACAGAGCCAGCCACAGAGTTAAACATAGAGGCCAGGCAGTGGTGGCACACACCTTTAATCCTAGCACTCGAGAGGAAGAGATCCATCTGGATCTCTGTGAGTTCAAGGCCACACTGGGCTACATGAGATGGATCCAGTCTAGGAGAGAAACAGCACCAGGCAGGGGTGGCACACACCTTTAACCCCAGTATTTGGGAAGGACCCACACCATTAATCTCAGCACTATGAAGGTTGAGATAGGAAGTGAAATGAATAGGTGGAGTAAGGCATACAAGGCAGAAGGAGACAGGAATTCAGGGCCTTTCAGCTGAAGACTCAGAAGCTTTCAGTCTGAGGATTTGTGGAGACAGAATTGGCTGAGGAGTTGGAGAGGTGAGAAGTGGCTGTGGCATGTTCCTTTGTCTTGATGATCTTTCAGCATTTACTCCAATATCTGGCTCTGGGTTTTTGTTATAATACCATTTAGAATTCGTGCTACAGCAGGACCCACAGGAAAGTGACCACTAATGTGGTGGTAATCTAATTGTACTGAAATGTGATTTTGATTGTATGTTAATAAATAAAGTTGCCCTGGGGTCAGAGCTATTAGAGCCATAGCAAGAGTGTGGCGGTGGTGGCACACGCCTCTAATCCCATAGATCTCTGTGTGTTCAGGGATATAGCCAGCATTGGAGACATATGCCTTTAAGACCTAGGGGGCTGTACATTCAGACAGTGATGAGGCAGTCACGTGTTTGGGTTTACAACCAATGAGAAGGCAGAACAAAATACTATAAAAAGACGAACAGACAGGATATAGCTCTCTTTCGGGAAGCTGGGACACCGCAGGAGGAAGGGTGAGATTTTAGCTCTGAGCTCTGACCTCTCGGCTTTCTCTTTTACATTGGTTCTGTGTTTCTTATTTAATAAGACTGTTGGATACATCTACACACTAAACTTTGCCAAAACAAGGTGGGATGGTCCTTCAGGGTTCCTGCTTCACAGAAGAAACTGCCAGACATTTTGCAGAATACAGAGGAAAGTGACTGACAAACTTGGCCAATATAGGTGGGACAGTCTTTCATATTTCCTGCTTCATTGAAAAGTCTGCCAGATACTATGGGCCTACAGGCTGAAGACGGATGCCCTGATGTTGCAGAGGAACTTTGGGTGACTGTCCAGGCAGTCGGATGTCTCTGTCATTTCTAGAGTTTTTGGAAGTTGTTTGTAACGCATTTTTTGTTTACTTAAATAATATTATATCCTTCTGGGGCCTTTGATGGAGTTGAAGACTAGACAGTTATAGTTGCAGTTTTCCTTAGCTATGATAAAAAGTAAATTAGGTATAAAATTTGGATTTACTAAGATAGGATAGATTATGGAGTGTTTTCTTTAAATGTACCAGATACAAATGAATTGGAATTCAGTACATTGTGAATGTAATCTTTACTTGGTAATTATTCTTATTGTATACAGTCTTACTATGTTAAAATTAAAACCTTTCATTTTTGTTTAGAAAAAAAGGGGGGGAATGTTGGGGAGTATTATTTTAAGGTGTGTTACTTTTGTTTATGTTGCATTTGTTTAACTCTGTGAAGCTGTGTTACTGTGCCTGTCTAAAACACCTTATGGTCTAATAAAGAGCTGAATGGCCAGTAGCAAGGCAGAAGTAAGGATAGGCAGGGCTGGCAGGCAGAAAGAATTAATAGAAGGAGAAATCTGGGAGATGGAGAGATCTAGGAGAGAGAGAGGGAGGAGGACAACAGGGGCCAGCTACCCAGCTACACAACCAGCAACAGAGTAAGAACGAAGGGTATACAGAGATAGAGAAAGGCAAAAGATAGATGGAATAACTTAAGAAAAGCTGGCAAGAAACAAGCCAAGCTAAGGCTGGGCATTCATAATTAAGAACAAGCCTCTGTGCATGATTTAGCTGGGAGCTGGGTGGCAGGCCCCCCAAAAGAGTAAAGGGATAAAAGCAAACAACAACATACCACAGCTTATGCTCAGTACTAAGTTCCCTATGCATTATGTTATGTAGTGGTCACAACGTCAGGGGATTTATTTCAAATCAAGAGGCCAGGGAACAGCTGACCTAGTTTCAGAGGACCAAGGTCAGGTGTACTCCAGGTCCCTGGGTGTCCCACATGCCATGTCCCAAGCTACAGGAATTAAGCGCTCCAGAACTATGGACTGAGAAAAGTCCAAGTAGCTGCCTCCTCTTTGCACACTGTATGATCTTCAAAAGAAAGGGTCATATTTTAATTGCCTATGTACCTTTCACTCCATTACAATGCTTATCATGCAGCAGACATTTAAAAATAGTAATATACTTTGGGGCAAAAATCTAAAAGTCCAGGGTACATACAATATGCTCAGCTCTCATCACCATGGGGGCAATACCGAAGAGAAATGGGGGAAGTAAGGAAGGAAGGAAGGAAAGAAGGGAGGGAGGGAGGGAGGGAGGGAGGGAGGGAGGGAGGAAGGAAGGAAGGAAAGAAAGAAAGAAAGAAAGAAAGAAAGAAAGAAAGAAAGAAAGAAAGAAAGAAAGAAAGAAAGAAAGAAAGAAAGAAAGAAAGAA